AAAGGTTTTAGGATCTGAAACCCTCTGATACCATGTGAGTAAAGATGTTTCCCCTTGAAGTCTTTCGTTGTATTGATACGTTAATATATATTACAAACAGGTGAGTGATATCAGGGATCACCACTATTCTAGGAGAATATACTAGGAACAATATCCTACAATATCTGAACTATACAAGATACGTTCTTATCATCTAATATATGCCTAATCCCAAATGAGAAAGAAACACAGTCTCACTTGTCTACTCAATTCTCCCAACTCCAATTTGACTCATTGGGATCATACCATTACCCCTGAATCCTCGGACGAACCCACCACCACGACGCATCTCCGCCATGTAACTCCTCACCTCCGCCTTAATCATCTCCTGCACCATCGCCATAAACTCGCCGCCGTTCCCAGCAAAAGACTTGCCCGTTTCCTCCTCAATGGCACCTTTGAAACCAACAGAAAACGGGTCTGTGTTTATATTAGTTGACTCGTGACTACGGTTTGACTCCTCGCTGACGTCAGCACCAGGAAGCGACAAACTCAACGACGTTTCGATGGGAACGGGCCTGAAAAGCCCAACAGATGGAACTGTACTGGAGTCGCTAACATCAGATCCAGTTGGGCTTCCTGGGCTCATATAAAGCCCAGAAGCAACAGGTGGACAACCGTCGCTCACCGATCTCTTGGCGGGGCGATGGTCCTTGGGAGTTACGATCTCGTCGCAGCATTTCCTCTTGAGCGTCGAGTTCCAGTGATTCTTCACGGCGTTGTCCGTACGACCGTTGAGAAGACGCGCAATCGTGGCCCACTTATTACCGAACTGCGCGTGCGCGCGCGCGATGGTCTCGTCCTCCTCCGCAGAAAACGGCCGGTGCTCGACCTGCGGCGAAAGCTGGTTGCACCACCGTAACCGACACGATTTTCCCGATCTACCGGGGATAGATTTGCTGATCACCGTCCAGTTTCTAGGACCGTACTTAACCACGAGCCTACGAAGCTGCTCGTCTTCTTCAGGACTCCATGGACCTTTAATCCGATCCGCCATTGATATATATATATATTTCAATAAAATATTTATCAAAGTGGTTTTCTCTCTGTTTGTTTCGTTGAGAGAGATATGATTAAATAACACAACAAGTTCGAGAAACTAACGAGAAGACAAAACTATTTATACAGCAATTCGACTGTGTATAAGTCATGGGCAACGCTTCTTCCGGTTCTTCAAAGTTTTGCGATGCAGCTGTCCAAGGACACGCGTCGTAAAATGGCTACGTTTTTGTCGTTTTCTTTTTATGTATTTAATGAGCTTTTAGATCGCAGGTTTTGTTGATAGGAGCGTGGATATCAATCCTAGTCAATGTAGTAGGTTTGTGGGTGCACGCGTTAGTAAAGAGAGTGGTGAAAGTGGGAAGTTAAAGAGACAAAATCACGAAACCCAACTAGCAAACCTATGATAATATTCGCACATTTTGAGTTGCATTTATATTATATATATATATATATATAAAAAAAAAAGACGATAACGGTTAGGTTCGGGTAAGGACAGTTTTTTTTATATATTTAGTCTGACTTTAGAATAGCAGAGGCCAGGCTGTATACCACTTCACAAACTTTCTATAATATCTACTTTACATAACCGGTTTTCCGGGTAGAAAAAACCTAATCAAATTGTCTACGAAACTGTTTAAAAAAGAAGCAAATTGTAATTAAAAAGGGAATAATATTATTAATAGACAAAACACACAACAAACCTAATCCATGTTTATAATCGTGTTTTTGTATGACTAATGTTTAGTTTGGTTTAATTGAATAAATGAAACAGTTAGAGTCACCAAGTTAATCATTCAAGTGTTGGTCGTAATAGGTAACTAGAGTTTAACCCACACATCTACACGGGTATCTATTTTCATTTTATAAATATATAATTTTAATATTATTGTATTTTTTTAAACTATATAATTTACCTTTTTTTTGTATTATATATTATGTAACTCTTTAATCTTATTGTTTAGTTTTATTATTACAATATAATATACATAGTTACTTTTTTATAATTGATATTACATTTTCGAATTTGGTACAATAAATCTAAAATATCAAATAGAGACGTCAATAAATTTTAATTTGAAGATATATAGCTGTAAATATAAATTTTAACATATGTTACTAATTTTACTTTTTAATAAAATATTACATAGTTTACCAATTTCAACCCGTTGTAATAGTGGATGATTATTTATTTAATGACAACATTAAAAAAATAGAATAGGTTAATTTACAAATTTAATATAATTTTGTCAATATTTTATTAACATAATACTTCTATTTAATATAATATATACTATAAGTATAAAATGTTATAACAATATCTTAGAGTTATTTTTATTTTTTATAGTAAAATTAAAATATTTTTTCTAATAATTTATATCACTAATCAAAAAATAATTAATGTATTATTTCATAAAAATATTAAAAAAATTATTAGGATTTTTCTAGTTTTTTTCTCAACTATTTTTATTACTAATAATAAAATTCAAATTTATAATAAAATAATCTATTATTAATATTCTTATTTTCTTATTAAGATTTTATAGAAACACTATATACTCCCTCCGTTCCTAAAAGATCCATGTTCTGGAAAAATATTTTGTTTCAAAAAGATGTATATTCTATGTTTTCTATGAGAAAATTACAAGTTTCAAAAATATTAATTGGTTTTATTAGATTACTATTGGCTAAAAGTTGTTGAAAATTGGAAATTGCTGAAAAAGATAGTGATTTAATGTGTTTTCTTAATATGTGTGAAAACACTAGAAAATCTATCTTTTAGGAACAGAGGGAGTATTTAATTGATTAGTGGAAATATTCAAACATGACATAATAAACTATGCCAACGAATATTCTTTAAGGATATATTGATTGCAAGATTAGTTTGTTGTAGATTTGAAATATTTATTAGATATATTATTATTTGAACATTATTAAATTTAAAAACGAACCGATTTTGATTAATCCACATGTTTTTCTCTGTTATGTTTTTCAGTGGTTAGTATGATGGAAACGTATGAAGCTTTATTTCAGTGAAGAAAAAACATTTATTATGGTGTGTTGTAAAGAGAATTTAATGACTGAAAATCATGTTTAAAAAAAAAACTTTTAAGATAAACAAAAAGGTATGTTACCATTTTGAAACATTAGTTAATGGACAGATTAATTTATTGGATATGTGATATATCTTTCGCTAAGTTATGTTGTTATGATCTATTGTATTAGGTAACAAATAATGTTTGGTTAGATTTAATTAGTTTCCGTTTGATTTTAGAGATTTGCCAACTATATAACGTAACTATGTAAATAGTATGTCACTTGTGTTAATACTAGTAAAATTAATGAACAAGTCCAAAAGTTAATGACAACTTTTAATAGTAAATAAAAATTTTCTCTATTAAAAGAGAAGTACCAAATTTATCTACTATATATTATTTAATTTATTGATTGTTACATTGACCAATCAAATATATATTATTTTCAAAATATCCTTAGAATTAATCAGAATATTAATATTAAATAAATTTAATATAACAAAATCTATTGAAAATATCTAACAAATACCAAAAATTTAAATATTTTTTTATAAAAAAAATATTTTTTATTTCATTATTAGATATAATTATATTAAAACTAAAATATAAATCATATATTTAATTTGTTATATATTTATAAAATGAAAATATACCTGTACAATTGTGCGGGTTAATCTCTAGTAGGATTTTAAATTAATAGGTTAGATATCAGAAATTTTGTGAGATATGTGTAAATATGTTAGATATTAATGATGTTTTGAGTTTAAGAAACGTGATGTAAATGAACGGCTATCAAAACAAATAGATAGACGTTGGTGATGTAGAAGAAAACGACAAGATAGGTTGCCGAACTGGAACACAAATCATAATGCCTTTTTTTTTTTTTATAACATCAATTTTATTAACTTAGCTTGAACCAACATAGTCATCATGTAACAAAGCATTCAAATATTGGGGTACATAATAATGAAATCGAAAATCATAATGCCTTTTATTTACTGAAAAATACATATATGTGATTTATTCCGCGAAAATGAATCAAATACAGCCTGTAAACTCGTTATTTGATCGAAAACAATTAATAAAATCTCTAACTGTAATACATTTTATGACATAACGCGTGTTTGAGATAGGCTCTTGATCTGTACGGTACGAGTTTTGTCGGAAATCGTCAGATTCTCTTGTTAAGCCGCACGCTCCCCACCGCCGTTGCACCTTCTCCCTATCCTTCCTCTGACGTATATTTAACAATAAATTATCTTTTAGGTTTTGCTTTATTATTTAATTAGTTTATGGTTTTTATATCAACAAGACGAGATGCTCACAAAACCAAGACGGCAAACATTCAAGATGGGCAACAACACCCCACAACACAAATTGTATTTCTTTTTCCTACTTAGCAAATTCTTAATTTTTGAAAACTATGTCTATATGAGAATGGCGATGGTTTAACATGAAAGGATTTCTCCATGCATCATGGATACCTTACATTCGACTTTATTCACTGATGGTGTAACAACAGGTACGTCAAACTTATTGATTGCGGTCACGAGCAAGATAGGTAAATAGTAAATCAAACATAATAAGTTTAAATTTACTTCTTCTCGGTTGAGATGTTTGTATTAAGTATAATGTTATGTAGCTGTACATTGCCTCTTTATAATTAGCCTATTTGTATAGTATCGAATTGGTTTACGTTATATTTTTTTTTGCAAAACATAAGAAAATATAATACGATCTTTGCTTGTTGTTGGCTTGTTGCTAGGATCACTGATCGACTGTCGGTTTTGGTCTGCTAGTTTACAAAGTATTCTTATTGGAGTTAATTTTACATTTACAATTTTCCTTAAAAAACAAATAAATAGATGGATAATTAATGGCCGATAGACCATATTAATGGTTGATTAACGATGTCTTATTCACAAATCTTGGACAATTCCAATTTTCGGTTATGATCTATATAGCGTAATGACCAGCAAAAATTCATAATACATTGAAAACATTAAATAAAACACCGTCCATATAATATTTTATAGTCACACACCGTCCAAGGTTACAACTGTATATTTTTGGTCCAGAATTGCCCTCTTGTGGAAAATAGAGCGGTGCAGAATAAAGGCACGTGGAACATGACCTAACTCAGTACAATACAATTTAAAATTCTAAATAACGAGCATTGGACAAAATGTAACAGCTGTTACCCAAGAAGCCCACGTGTGTACATGTCTACTTCTTCCACGTGTAAGCGCTAATGACATGTAACGTTCAATATTCTTTACAAGACAAAACTACTCTTGTTTGTTATTGGTCAATACAGGGTTAGATATTCATCCACTTACGTAGTTTATTCTTTTGTTAAGGTCTTCACTGTAGTTATTTAACGGTTTAATTCGTTTAAACGGATAAGAAAAGTGTAACTGATTACAACGAAATTCTTCTAGCTTTTTTAAGCGTTTTGATCGTTGAATCAGATTATCGAATGAAACTGAAATTATAAATTGCCATCGAATATATTCCCTCTGTTTCATCATAAGTGTCATTTTAGAATTATTCATACGAATAAATAAACAATTAATTTTAAATATTTCTTATATAAAAGTAATTAATTTTACATATTTATACATGAATGAAAAAATACATTACATAATAAAATTAATAAATTTTGTATTGAAAAACGAAAACAACACTTATTTTGTAACGGAGACACTTATTTTGTAACGGATTTTTTTTTTACAACGACACTTAATATGAAACGAAAAATGTATAATCTATCATTTATTTTTCTCGGATACACCAATTAAGCAGTGTATATTTGTACATAAACTGAAGAAAACTAAACACTACACTAATATATATGAATATTAAACTAAATACGTTAGGTTGACAAAAAAGGGTATACGTTAGGAAATTTTGAAAGGTTATGCATATATTATTAGTATATCTACTAATAATAACAATCCTCATTAATTCCAAAAGTTGTGAATCTTCATTAAAATGAAAAGTTGTGTTTTTTCATTAAAAAACTGAAATGTATTAGTTGAGACTTGTATCTTTTCAAATAATAATGCCAATTAATGTGAAAGGTTATGATTCATAATTAAAATTAAAAAAAATTATGTTTTTTCTTTAAAAAAACTGAAATATATTAGTTTAAAATTTATATATTTTCAAAAAAAAATTGAATCGTTTTAAAAGTTTTAAGAGTTGATATTATCATTAATGTCAAACGTTGTGTTGTTTCATTTTAAAAGTTACATTAATTGAAAATAAGCTAGCAAATTCTATTGGAATCCAAATAAATGTGAAAGAGTATGTCTTTTTTTACGTGAAAGAGTGTGCTTTTACATTCTAAATACTGCATTTGGTTTTTAAAAAATCCCTAAAATGTATAAAGAAATGTCTTTGAATCTCTTATTCAGAATCAATTCTCTACAAATATTGGTACTTTTCAATGTGATGGAGATGGTGAATTCATGAGTACTCAGTTTCTTTTGCATTTACAACAATGTGGAATCAAACAGCTTCTCTCTTGTCCACACACGCCTCAACAAAACGGTTTGGCAGAGAGAAAGCACAGACATATTGTAGAGCTTGGAATATCTCTGAAGTTTCAAAGCAAAACACCTCAAAAGTACTGGGTTGAGGCCTTTGTTACAGAAAATTTTCTGAGTAATCTACTTCCTCATACAGCTCTCCATGAGACACAAAGTCCATATGAGAAGTTGTTTCATAAAAGACCCTCTTTCACAGCTCTACGGGTCTTTGGTTGCTCTTGTTATCCAATGCTGCGTCCCTATGCTCAAAACAAGCTAGATCCTCGATCTCTCACATGTGTGTTTCTGGGATATAGTGAAAAGCACAAGGGATATCGATGCTTATTCCCAGCCACTGTAAGAGTATACATCAGTAGGCATGTTATCTTTGATGAATCGAAGTTCCCCTTCGAAGATGTATACAAACATCTTCACCCTCAGACAACCACGCCTCTGCTTGCAGCTTGGTATAAAGGTGTTGGAATCTCTTCTACTGAAACTCAGCATTCGCCTAACACCATGGAAACTGCACCAGAAAACCCTTTGACAGTGTCTCTTAAAATGCCTACTCTCAGACCTACAGAAGCCACTCCTCTTTCAAGCTCAAGAGTTTTTGATCAGGCAAGCGAGTCTCATTCTCCATCTGTCCCAGCAATAGTCACCCCTATGCCTATTACAAGTGGAAACTCTAACTCTGAACATGGGGATCACTCAACAAGCTCATCACACAAGCCTGCTCCTAATGCTGCAGAGACTTCAAATAATGTAGCAGTCTCTCTGAATCAACACAGAATGACAACGAGGTTGAAAGCAGGTATCACCAAACCTAATCCAAGGTATGCTTTGCTGTCAAATAAGGTAGCTAGTCATGAGCCTAAAACAATTGCTGAGGCGTTGAAACATCCAGGGTGGAACAATGCTATGTGTGAAGAGATTAAAAACTGTGAAATCACACATACTTTGTCTCTGGTTCCATACAAGTCACATATGCATGTACTCGGTAATATATGGATACACAGGACCAAGTACAACGCAGATGGGACAGTCAAGTCACTGAGATCGCGTCTGGTGGCTCAAGGCTGTGGTCAAGAGGAAGGAATAGACTACCTAGAGACGTACAGTCTCGTGGTCAGAACCGCAACAGTTCAGATTGTTCTACATATTGCTACGGTGATGCAGTGGGATATCAAGCAAATGGATGTTGCCAATGCCTTTCTCCATGGAGATCTCTATGAAACCGTCTACATGAGACAACCTGCAGGTTTTGTAGACAAGACGCGACCAGATCATGTTTGTTTGCTCCATAAATCTCTCTATGGACTCAAGCAGTCCGCGCGAGCTTGGTTTGACAAGTTTAGCACCTATTTATTGGAGTTTGGTTTTGTATGCAGCATCAAAGATCTGTCTCTATTCATCTACACCAAGGGGAAGAACATCATCTTACTACTATTGTACGTAGATGACATGTTGATAACTGGTAATAGCTATGAAGTGTTGAAGAAGCTATTGGAGGATCTTAACAAACAATTTCGCATGAAGGATTTAGGGAAGATGCATTCCTTTCTTGGAATTCAAGCTGAGTTTCACAAGTCTGGTTTATTTAAGTCTCAGAAAAGGTATGCTACAGATCTTCTTGCTGTTGCAGCGATGACAGGGTGTGCACCTGTGGCAAATCTGCTACCACTCTAGCTAAACAAAATCCCACACCAAGATAAGAAGTTTGAGAACCCAACCTATTTAAGAAGCTTAGCGAGAAAGTTTCAATGTTTGACACTGGCGAGAACTGATCTTCAGTTCTCTGTTAATTATGTGTGTCAAAAGATGCATGAACCATCTGTCTCAGACTATCTGCTGTTTAAAAGAGTCTTGCGGTATGTTAAGGGAACTCTTCACTACGGTGTCAACATCTCCAAAGACACAGATTTCACCTTGCGTGCTTAGAGTGATAGTGATTGGGCTGGATGCCATCACACAAGGAGATCGACTGGTGGTTTTTGCACTTACCTCGGCTCTAATATCATCTCTTGGTCTTCAAAGAAACAGTCGACTGTGTCCAGAAGTTCTACAGAGGCTGAGTATCAGTCATTATCAGAAACCGCTTCAGAGTTGAGCTGGATGTGTGCTATACTACAAGAGATTGGAGTTCCAATCAAGGTCACACCGGAACTATATTGTGATAACCTCTCCTCTGTGCATCTGACTGCGAATCCAGCCTATCATAAACGTTCCAAGAACTTTAAGATAGATTATCATTATGTATGGGAAAGAGTAGCACTTGGAGCTTTGATTGTGAAACATGTTCCAGCGTGTCATCAGCTTGCCGATATATTCACAAAGCCCCTTACATACAAAGCCTTTGATATCTTGCGGTTCAAACTAGGTGTTGAAGCATCACCCACACCAAGTTTGAAGGGGCATATTGATAGAAAAGCATTAAACGGCAACATATTGATCAAGGAACAAAAGGGAAAGCAGAAGTTGAGCCACGAGGATGAGAAGCCCAGTCAACGGCCCAACTCAAGTGTTCCAGAGTTTAAATCACCAGCTCAACGGTTATGTCTTGGAAGTAAAGACAAAGATCAGAAAAGCAAAGTACAGTTTCAGAAGATGACGGAAGCTTGTACTGAAGGAGTTAATGGCTTGAAGATGTTCAACAGATTCTCAGCCCTTGATATCTAAGGAGCTTACGATCATGTCATCTGGCTAGGAACTTAGGGTTTACAAGTTTGTGTATAAATAGTGAACCTTTGTAATGGCTATCGGCAAGAGAAATCAAATGAAATTTCAGTAAAGATTTACACTTTTCTACTAGTTATTTCATAAGATAGCGATAGACAGTTTTTTGCAGTGCAATCTTAGTGTTGCGAGTCCATAATGTATATAGATTTTGTACTGGTGGATGCAAGTGCTTTTGTTTTATGTATATAGACGAAATAAATAAATAGACGAAGACGTACGTTATCGATAGATGAGGAGCAGTTGGGGATTCGATAACGTACGACTTGGTCTATTTTATTCATTTGTTGCCTTTATTGATGACTGTGTTTTTTGTTCTTTTAATTGCAGGGAAAGTGGTCTCCCTCCTCTCGTCATTTACCTTGGGAAACTCGGGTCAAATATTTGGAAGCAAGAGATCATCATGATATTGGGCCGAGTCTGAGTCCAAGCCCAAGTTAAGTTGGGTTAGCCTTATCATAATGCTGTGTTAGCCTGTTTGAAAAGAGGCCTAGTGTGTGCTTCTCCGATACCACAGAGAAGAAGGCCTACTAATCAAATATCAAAGACGCCTTTTGCAAGTTGCACGTTGTAGAGAAATTCCCTTTTCATAGCTTGACCAAGAAAGAGTTAATAATAGCTTGACTGTGTGCTTAAGAGGGTAGAAAACTTGAATAAAATAAGAATAGATCGTATTGAGAACGCCAAACTTGCCGAAAATCAATATGCTATGTTCTTTAGAACGAACACCATATGCGAAGTTGGCAGCGGGGGAGAGAGTCATGTAGGAATAAAAAACAAAACATGTTGCTTGTCTTTTTAGGTTAGGGATGATAATCAAACAATTTTGAAATTTCTTGCGAAAGTAAATATATATGCATAGGAACTTAATATTAAACATTCATAAAAAAAAAAAAAGAAGAAGAAAACATGAAAGGTGTACAGAGCTTATGGTTGTTGCCAGTCTTGATACTATTTTATGGTACAAGTATTTCCATATGTGGGAACAAATTGTCGTCTACAGAAACTCTTACAATCTCAAGCAACAGAACACTTGTTTCTCCCGGTGGAGCGTGGGAGCTTGGTTTCTTCAAACCTTCAGCGACACTCTCGCGATGGTATCTTGGAATATGGTATAAAAACGTCTCGGAGAAAACCTACGCGTGGGTCGCCAACAGAGACAACCCTCTCTCCAATTCCATTGGAACCCTCAAAATCTCTGGCAACAATCTTGTCCTTGTAGGTGTAAGGCATGATGAGCAGAGCTCTGTTTGGTGGTCCACGAATCTTACTAGTGGAAACATGAATTATTCAAGGGTGGTGGCAGAGTTGATGTCTAATGGAAACTTCGTACTGAGAGCTTCCACGCAAAACAGCAACGAAGGGACATGGGGATTCTTGTGGCAGAGTTTCGATTTTCCGACAGATACTTTACTTCCAGGTATGTCTCTAGGAATCGATCACAAAAGTGGGCGCAACAGATTCCTTACATCTTGGAAAAGCTATGATGATCCCTCAAGCGGGTCTTACACTTACAAACTCGACATTCGAAGGGGCTTGCCCGAACTGTTTCTACGGAAAAACGAGTTAGTACTTCACCGGAGCGGTCCGTGGAATGGAATCGAGTTTACTCAAGAGTACCTAAACAATTTTGTTTATTCGGAGAAAAGTGAAGAGGTCCGCTATGCGTTCTCTATTCCCTACGACCAAAGCTACTACTTGAGATTGACATTAGATGACCTTGGGGTCCTCGCTCTATTCGCGTGGATCCCCGCGCCAACATCTCGATGGGAGGCTAGGGCTACTTTATCAACGAAAAGCTGCGACCATTATAATAAATGTCCATCTAATAGCTACTGTGACCTAAAGATGGACTGTAACTGTTTACAAGGGTTCGATAAGACAGAAGAAGCGTACTGTGTGAGGAGGGCACCGCTGAGCTGCAGCGGAAATAGGTTTTCGATCCTAAAGAACATGAAGCTTCCAGACACTAAGATGGCTGTCCTTGATCGGGGAATTGACTTGAATAGATGTGAACAAAGGTGCCTAAGCGATTGTAAATGTACATCGTTCGCGGCTGCGGATGTTCGAAATGGCGGAAATGGTTGTTTACTATGGAGAGGAGAGCTCAATGATATCCGGAATTATCCTATCGGTGGTCAAGATCTTTACGTCAAAGTGGCTGCTGTTGACCCTGGTTAGCTCTTTATATTCTTATTTATAGAAGATACGGATGCAAATATATGTATATAACTTGTAACTTTGACCTGACTACTCAGTTCTTTCTTCGGACGAGGAGAGAGACAGCAATGGAAAAATAATAGGATGGAGTCTAGGAGTCAGCTTAGTGCTTATTCTGAGTGCTATCGTGTTCTGCTTTTGGAAGGGGAGAAAGAAGCAAGAAAAAGCTGCAGGTGCAACACCTACAAGTAAACAAACTAGAGCTTTCAAAAACACATATACGTAATTTCAATTTTTAAATTTTCTGATCGTTTTTACCTATTCAACTATCAAAGTGAGAAACAAGATGGTACTACCAAGAAAAAGAAACTTGTCTGAAAAGAATTACGAGGTGGAAGATTTGGAACTTCCATTGATGGAGTTGGAAGCTGTTCTCATAGCTACCGATAATTTCTCTGACAGAAACAAGGTTGGAGAAGGTGGATTTGGCGCTGTTTACAAGGTAGGTAGATATATAGACACTTATCCCTGTTTTCTAGTTTTAGACACTTAAAAAGGTTTTTTTTTGTGACGAAATATTATCATGGCTGGCTGGCACAGTTGTGAATAACGTTTATTTTTGTATACGAATAGTTAAAATTGCCTTTTTTGATGGCAGGGAAGGTTACTTGATGGGCAAGAAATTGCGGTGAAGAGACTATCAGAAATGTCAGCTCAAGGTACCAGTGAGTTCATGAATGAAATCAATTCCATTGCCAAGCTTCTTGTGCGCCTTCTTGGATGTTGTGTTGAAGAGAGAGAGAAGATGCTGATCTACGAGTACTTGGAGAACTTAAGCCTCGATTCTTTTCTCTTTGGCCAGTGCCTCTCAACTCATGATGATAACTAAGAATTATGCATGATACATACATTAATAGTAATAAACCGAATGAATGAATTAATTTTGTTGTACGATCAATATGTGCAGATTTAAGCAGAAGCTGTATGCTAAATTGGCAGATGAGATTTCAAATTATCTCGGGGATTGCTCGAGGGATTCTTTATCTCCACCAGGATTCATCCATTCGAATAATCCATAGGGATTTGAAAGCAAGCAATGTATTGCTTGATAAAGATATGACTCCAAAAATTTCAGATTTCGGAATGGCTAGGATTTTTGGTCGAGATGAGACGGAAGCTAAAACGAGGAAAGTGGTTGGAACTTAGTAAGTAGTTAAAAAAATTTTGAAGCAAAGAGCTCTTCTAGCATACAACTTGTTATTTATATAAATACTAGGTGATTTCCCGTGCTCATGCACGGGTATGAATATTCATAAAAGTAACATTTTATAATAATTGATTGATATTTAGTTTTAATTTTGAATAAATTTGTATGTATAATTTATATTAATAAATATTATATTATTCTATACATATGACTTTGGATATATTATTATCGGTTTAATTATTTTTTGGACCAATAGTCGGTATGGTTATCAATTCGGTATATTGGATAATATCTATTTTTCGAATTCAGCGATAATATTTTAATTCTAAATATAATAAAACTTTGATTAATTTCTTATTTTCATTTCGGTTGGTTGTTGTATTAGATATGTAAATATATTATTAGATATGTAAATATATTATAGTTAAATTATGTATAACTTAATATATATTGTGCTTAAAATGAAATAAATAATAAGTTGAAGTGTTTGATTCAAAATTACATAAATGAATATAATGATAATATTTTGAAGTCTCATGCATATATATAAATTCTACAAAATAATTAAATTGTAATTGGTTAATATATTTTTTTTTAATATGCTTTGAGTCAACCTCTAATTTATATGTATAAAATTAAATAGTTTATTATTATTATTATAAAATTATATGTTCTTATTGTAGTTAGATGTTCAATTTTGGATATAAATTAGATTAGTCGAGTCATTCATTTTGTGAGTATATTGAGTTAAATATATTTTTAAATTAAAACTGAAGTATAATTACTTTTTATTTTAGTTAAGTCAAATCAAATTAGTTTTATTTATCGCTTAAATACATGTATTTTTCATAATATTTATTTACTCTTTATTTTAGTTAAGTCAAATTAGTTTATATATCGCTTAAATATACATGTATTTTCATAATATTTATCATATTATATGTTGATTTCTAAAAAAATATTAGAAAATAAAGTGTTACTGATAAATTTTTGAATGCTCATGAACATATATATTTTATTATTTTGAAAATATATTTGATGTTATTTAAAAATATATATTAATGTGGGTATTACTATTTTGTGAACTTTCCTTTTTAATAAAGTCATATTGTATACATATATTTTCGTTTTTAAATTTGTTTTAAAATTTTAGAAATATTTCCTTTTTATTTATATGTTATTTGGAAAAAGATAAAAAGGAAACTAAATAAAAAAATTAATAATAATCTTAAAATCTAACAATTCATTAAGGGTATCTATGTAATCAACCATCGTGAGAGTTAACGTGAACGCGACTGTAGGAAACTGACTTCTCAAATAATATTATAGAGATATTCTTAGATATGTAAATATATGATAGTTAAATTGTGTATAACTTAATATATATTGTGCTTAAATGAAATAAATAATTGATTGGTATTTAGTTTTAGTTTTTAATCAATTTATATGTATAATTTATATTAATAAATATTATATTATTCTAATTATACATATGACTTTGGATAAATTATTACCGGTTTAATTATTTTTTTTTATCAATAGTCGGTTTGGTTATCAATTTGGTATATTAGATAATATTTATTTTTTGAATTCAGCTATAATATTTTTTATTCTAAATATAATAAAACTTTGATTAATTTTCTTATTTTCATTTCGGATGGTTATTGTCTTTATATATGTAAATATATTCTTAAATATGTAAATATATTATAGTTAAATTATGTATAACTTAATATATATTGTGCTTAAAATGAAATAAATAATAAGCTGAAGTGTTTAATTCAAAATTACATAAATGAATATAATGATAATATTTTGAAGTCGCATGCATATATATAAATTCTAAAAAGAATTAAATTGTAATTGGTTAATATTTTCTTTTTCTTTTTAATATGCTTTGGGTCAACCTCTAGTTTATATGTATAAAACTAAATAGATTATTAATATTATTATTATTATTATAAAATTATATGTTCTTATTATAGTTAGTTGATTAATTTTGAATATAAATTAGATTAGCCGAGTCATTCGTTTTGTGAGTATATTGAATATCATATTATTGTAAATTAAAATTGATTAATAATTCATTTTTATTTTAGTTAAGTCAAATCAAATTAGCTTTATTTATCGCTTAAATATACATGTATTTTCATAATATTGATTTACTATTTATTTTATTTAAATCAAATCAAGTTAGTTTTAGTTATCGCTTAAATATACATGTATTTTTATAATATTTATCAAATTATATGTTGATTTCTAAAAAATATTAGAAAATAAAGTGCAACTGATAAGTTTTTGGATGTTCATGAACATATATATTTTTATTATTTTAAAAATATATTTTATGTTATTTTAAAATATATATTAATGGGGTATTGCTATTTTGTGAACTTTTCTGTTTTAATAAAGTCATATTATATACATATATTTCGTTTTCAAAATTTGTTTTAAAATTATAGAAATATTTCCTTTTTATTGTATATGTTATTTGGAAAAAGGTAAAAAAAAAAACTAAATAAAAAATAATAATCTTAAAATTTAACAAATCATTAAGAGTATCTATGTAATCAACCATCGTGAGAGTTAACGTGAGCGCGACACGTAGGAAACTGAATTCTCAAATAATATTATAGAGATATATATTTTCCTATATGTTTTTGCAGCGGCTACATGTCCCCAGAATACGCTTTCGAAGGGAGATTTTCGGTAAAATCAGATGCTTTCAGTTTCGGGGTAGTAGTTCTCGAAATTATAAGTGGGAGAAGGAACAGAGGATTCTACAACTCGAGCCATGATCACAATCTTCTCGAATATGTAAAAGCTTGAAACTTGTTATTTGGTTGGGTGTTAATAATGCAAAAATCTCTCTGAAGATATATATGTATGTATCATGACTAAGAAAAGATTCAAACGTTTATGCGAGGACAGGTGTGGAGGAATTGGAAAGAAGGTCAAGGTCTAGAGACTGTGGACAAAGTCATAATAGATTCTTCTTCATCACCAACACGCGAAATCCTAAGGTGCATAAAAATTGGCCTCTTGTGTGTTCAAGCACGTGCCGATGATAGACCATTGATGTCGGCAGTTGTTTTGATGCTGGGAAGCGAAACAGCAGATATTCCGGAACCTAAACTACCAGGTTTTTGCGTCACAGGGAATTCTCGTGAAACTAAAGAAGAAAAATATGAGTCCTGCACGGTGAACCAAATCACCATGTCGATTACAGACGCTCGGTAATGTTATTGATTATTACTTGAGAGTAATAATCTTTTACTCGTGTTACATTTAATGGAATAAATAAACTCCTTAGAGCATATGTACGTCCATTGTGGTCGAAAGAATCTATTTCCTACTTGTTTTAATAATCTCCTTAGAGAACAAAATTATAAGAGACAGTACATGGAAGAGTTTTATAATAATATTTATAATAATATCCCAAGTGATGATTAACCCTATATATATCCCAATTGTTAATGATTTTTCTTTTTAATAATAAACTTTAGTTAAGAAATACTTCATTAGTTTTTATTATGCTCCATTGGTAGTTAAAAAAATAAATAAATTAAAGTTTAGACTTACCAAGTTGAGTGGAGTGAATGCAACCCAAATCTACCATTGATGGGGTTTGAGCACTTGATGTTGCAGGAGAAGGTTGCATATTGTTGTGTCTCTAGGATCTGATGCGGAGCCTTGTGCCAATAGAGTATACTTGAGAGAGGCCCAAGTGCTTCTGCTCTGCTTTTTGATCCACTTTATCAAGCAGACAAGTCCCAGAGAGAGAGTTGTGAAAGCTGCAATGTCACAATCAGAACCAATACATTAGGTGTTTCTTGAATCAACAACTATGCTATCCAATTACACATCCATCACGATTCTTGTTCAGAATATAGAAAGTTAGGCAAGCAAACACACACATTTGTAAATAAAGTGGATCCATCAGAAACCTCTTTCTTAGTTTAAAAATATAAAATAAAAAAAATAACCAAGCCCACACATACAATGTTGATCAAAGAAGCAAACTTGATTCACTCCTACGCAATCTTTGAGCCAACTCAAATTAATGGAATCGATTAGCATATCCACAATTCAAGGATGATTGAAGGGAAAGACATACATGACGGTGATTGAAGAGAGGAGACGCTTCAATCGCGACGACGGAGAAGACGAGGACGACAAAGACCAGAAAACAAAACAACATTGGTCCACTGCTTTGATGACACGTGTCTAATCGATCACAAAAAATGTTTTAGATTATTCACCATTTAATCAATTTTTATTTGGGAATTCGGCCAAAAAAACACGAACTTTACACGAATTTCCAAAAAAATCTATACTCGACCCTGACCAAAAAAAATACTATAATTTTGTTGACTGGTCAATTTGACACACCGTTAATTCGCAGTTTAGACAGCGTTAAGTTTCCGTTAAATCTTGAACCCGGGTTGGTCAAGTCAAATGCCATTGTATTCTACCACTGGGCTAGTGTTACTCTCTTTGTATTCACTAACATAATTTGTTTTATAGAGTACTAGTTTTACATGATTCGAAAATAAAAAACGTACACCCCTAGACTTGAACCCGAGTTTGTTAGCCAAATGACATGGTATTCCACCACTAGGCTAGTGTTAGTTTCACTATATTCACTAACATAATTTTGTTTATTGAGTACTAATTGAATATAAAAAATCTCTAAAAACTTAAAAATACATTTAAAATTACAAAAAATTGAAAAATAAAGATTATTTTAGAAAATTAATTTTGAAACTAAAATTAAAATTAAAATTAAAAACAAAAATTTCATTTTTTTCTTTTTAAAAAAATCAAAAAAATTCCAAAATTTTCAAGAAAGTTTAATTTTAAATTAAATTATCAATAATATTTATTTTTTTTACTAAAAATGAAAAAAAATCGAAAATTTTAAAACAGATCCAAAAATTAAAAAATCAAAGAAAATGCAAGCAAATTAAAGTTACAACTATCAACTTAAAATTAAAATCGCACTCATAATGGGTACAATAATTATTTTAAGTATTTTCATTTTAAATGAAAATTTTGGAAGATTTTTGATTTTTAAAAGAAAAATGAAATTTTATTTTAAATTTTAATTTCAAAATTAATTTTATAAAAAATTTCTTTATTTTTCATATTTTGTAATTTAAAGGTATTTTTAAGGTTTTTAGAGATTTTTTTTATTCAGTAAATACTCAATAATACTAAATATGTTAGTGAATACATTGTAAGTAACTCTATCCCAGTGGTTAATAACCATGTCATTTAACCCAATTAACCCTGGTTCGAATATCGGTGTCTACATCTTTTTATTTTTAATTTACTCGGATGAGAGAATGTTAAAAACAACTATATTCGCCAATACAATAAAAAGTTTATTAGCCCAGTGGTAAAGTGCCTACCATTATCCTCAAGTGCTCAAGTTTGAATCCCTTGGAGCACGTTTTCTCACCTTTTTTTTTTTTTTTTTTTAAAATACATAAAACGAGGTCATTTCATCATAACGCCCAAATTTAACGTCGTCAAAAAAATCTGTTAACGGTGTGTCAAATTGGCCAGTCAATCAAAAGTTTCTTAATAAAATTAAAAAGTCAACAAAAGTATAGTGTTTTTTTGGCCAGCCCATATGTACAGATTTCTTTTGGCAATTCGTGCAAAGTTCGTGTTTTTTTTTGCCCAATTCCCATTTTTATTTAATTAAGTTGGATTTAATTTTTCTTTTCAAATTGGATTTTTCAATACGGCTTTCTTCTTTTGACCTGATGATCTGTCTTTTTTGGCTTTTCATTATTTAAAAGTTATAGTTAAAATATTCTTTCATCTTCTCTGAATTGTAAACTTTAAGGACATTAATTATATTTGCTGAATTCTTATTGGTTGAAAATTATGAAAAATAGATAATCACAAAGAAATTTTGTATTTGATATTAAAATTTAATGGATTTTATTAATCAGTGTGAAAAAAATTAAAATATATACTATTTTGAAACAGAAAAAAATTATATATCTTAAGTTATACAATACACTCCAACATAAACACCAATAATCTAAAGAAAAAGATAGCAAACAAGTTTTGATACATAGAAAAGTTGCAAACACTTTTCTTCCCCTTGAGCTAGCTTTTTCATAGATATAATTTAAGATAGATGATATATGTGTGATGATATCTGAAACGAACACTTCTTGAATCTCTCACAGAGTTCAACAATTTTCTTTGGGATTGCAAGAGACAACTTCAATATCTCCAGAAAAATAGCGAACCACAGCTGGATAGGGAAAATAAATCTTGATTCCAAAGATTGTTCTCTTGCATGATGAAACAAAGCTATCCTTCACTTTACATCGATGATAATTTCCTATCAAATTGTGTTATGCAATGACAATCTTCTCCGGTGAGCTTATGAGAAGGCAATCATGGGAGTTCCAAGGAATTGAGATACTCAATCCCGTATAATGTATCATTTTGATCAGATCGAGTTTCTGAAATCTCAAAGCTATCGTAACGTATTTTTTTATCAAATCTACATTTCAATAATAATAAATTTTAATCAGTAGATATGCTTATCGTAGGTTTTTCGGCAAACAATGAAATAAAGTATAAACAATTCTTAAAATTAAATATGCTAGATAAGCACCAACGAAGAATTTCTCGCATAAAATGATTCTTACATTCTATAGATACTGAAAATACCAATTCATATTTCTGCGGAAATAAATAAGAACGCTCATTTTATACTAAGTTCAAAGATCAATATTTAAAACCTATATTAATATTTTTTTTCAAAATAAAAAATTAATTATGCTATAATAAATAAAATGCATAAAAGTAAAAACAAAAATCACCTACACACTTTTAAGTATTTAAGTCAAAGAATTTTCAAATTTTAAATTAGTATAAAATACGAAAAAATAATAATTTATCTATAGAAAAGGAAACTATTGTTAATTATTAATTTTGTGTGATACAAACATAAAATATATTAAAAAAATATAGTAATATACTTATATCTAATATATGAGATAAATAAGACTATTAAAAACAAAAGTAAATTATACACATAAATTAAAGTATAATAACATAATTCATATATTTATAAATTATAAAATTTAAAGTACATAATACGCGCGTAGCGCGGGAAAACCCTCTAGTTAACATTAATATCCAAATAAATACAAAAAAAAATTAACAGAATTATCAATAATCAGGGAAATGAAGAGAAGAGAGATTAAGATGAGGACATTTAGTATATTAGCTTTTGCTTAGATTACAAACCACCATTTGTTTCCAACAGAAACAAAGCAGGACCAATTGTAGGACATCTTAACATATCCTCATTTAGTTATACTTGGTTTCATATCGAACCACAACTCTAAATGTTCTGCAATGATGTAAATTGTGCAGATTGAGTAACTGTGATCACGATTAAATCGTACAGATATGAACCTTTGTTGTTTTCAGATAAGCTTTGAGTTACACTATTCCAGGGTTGAGATAATATCTAGAAAACCATTTGGAAAGAGAGGAGAGCAGTATGTTTGTCTATTATAAACATTTCATAAGCAGTTTTATCTTTGTAATATTTTTTTCTTCTGTATTTTCCTTTTTTTATCAACTTCTTATGTGTTTCCATGTAAGGTCTTATATTCTAGAGAAAAATAAAAACAATTCAATGATTGAATATAGTATATTATTTTAGGATCATCATTTTTCTATCCTTATCAGCCAGCAGTGGAAACTCAAATTCTTTTTTGGATCTCTTTCTATTCTCAGCTTCTTATGATCGTTCAACCTTGTTCTGTTCAAGTTGTTCCTCTCTTTCTTCAAGTTCCTTCTAACTTGACTCTCTTGTGGTTTTCACATTTATTTGCTGTTGAGACTAATTGTGCTTCAAAAGACTGTTTTAAATTAGAATCCTTTTTTCTTTTCTTGTGCAGCTCCAAGGATTGTTTCCTTACAGATTCTACCATAAACTACTCTTTTTGTTTTTTTTTTTTAAATGTTAAATTTATTCATATCAAAAAATCTTTTTACAACATGTGTTTCTTGTTTAAAAGTTTATGAAAAACTTCCTAAGAAATCAAATTTGTCTACAAACGGGCTGTGAACCAAGCTTGCATTGTTTCTCCATATCTTCGACTTCCATTCAGCCTCAGTGAGGATATACGGTTCCTAACGACCTTGTCAATGTGTCTGGTTAAAGACTCTGCTGATTGGTGTCTTTCTCCATG